GCGCCGTACCACGGACTCCTCGGAGGACGAGCAGGTTCTAGCGACGGATGAGGTTTGGGGGCGACGGACTGCAAGGGAGAGGCACAGGAGGGCGGCGAGGCCGGAAGTAGTTCCACTGCCTCTGCTGCGGCTAGCCCCTACTTGCGAGGTCCCTCAAAACTCCCTGGGCCTCCGCTTCCTCCCCTACGCCCAGTGATCCGCCCCCAGGGGGACAGGTAACTAACTTTAGATTTAATCACAGCTACTTCATATAACCTGTTGAAAATTGTCAGAGAAACTAATAATGTTTGTTAATGACTTGTGTAGGCACTGGGAGGTTGTGTCGCCTGGTGACTCACGCAACCCCAACCACATCTTGGGGCTTGTGTGCAGGCACTATTACCCCGGCATTGTCACGCACAAGGGGACTGTGGGGCCGGCCAAATCATGGGACCACTACAAATCTACCCCCGACGCAGATTATGAAGACAAGCAGGAGCGGGTCAGGAGAGAGTTCTGGGTAAGTCTCGTTCGCACAACTTTGATCAATACATCGTATTCATTTGACACTTTTTGACATAATGAATTGATACATTGTGTCTGTCTGTAGACTTTTTTCAGGTGTGAAGAGGGACAGGAGGAGAGGGCGGAGAAGAACTTGGTGAAAAGTGCTAGGAAACGCATCAGCGACATGCACTACGAGGAGCGCCTCACTTGCATCATCAAGTACTATGCCACGCGACTTGGTCAGAAAGTCAGCAAGACACAGGCAAGACAGATGCCTCGACCGAGAAGCAGTTCCTTGAGGTAAATGAAGAAGAATAATATCTGATTCGTTTGAGAGATTAAGTAGCTTTCATTTGGTCGTCTTACATCTCAAATTCTTTATGACATGTAGATGATTCCATGGTGGTGCGAGTCCTTTGCCGATGGGCTGGGAGATGATCGTGGGATGTGTGGTTCACAGAGGGTTATATCCAGAACACGAAGCCCACCGGGAGCGGGCTTTACTGAGCGACAGCCCCACACACCACCAAGGCAGCCATGACCTCGGCGCGATACAAGCAAGCTTGGGTACGTGAATTCATTTTAGTATTCGACGCTCCATTCTCGCATGTTTCTTCTAATCATCTTGTTGTCTTTCTCGCGATCGGCGTCGCATGGTGGCCAGCCTTTGTCCACGTTCATGGCGTATGGGTCGCCCGCAAGGGAAAGGTGACTTCGCTGTCACCTTCAGCCCGGATGACCCACCCGAGTCGTCTGACAAAGAACCCGAGCGCCCACACCCAGATCAGCTCCCTACGCGTCGGAGGCAAGGTCGGTCCAGGGGCGGACGGGATCCGAGCACCGAGCGACATTGATGGCACGTTGTCATGAGGATCGAGCAGGCAAGAAGCATGGGTGGTATTGGCTTGGCGATGGCACCCTCGAGTCCGGCTCTGTTTCCTCCCTCTCTCCTAGATCCGAGCAAGTACCCGAAGCGGAGGCCCGGCCATACACCAACGACCGTCCCCTTCACAAAGAAGCGGTCGACGCACTCCAGTTAGTCGGTTTAACTCTTCAGTACATTGATCTTTACATAACTTAGTTACCTTTACATTACTAAAACATTCGATTGAAATGTTGCAGTGTCGAGAATGAGAGGATGGCTCAGAGCTGCGGGACTGGCGGGCGAGGGACCGAGGTGGCGGAAGGGAAAGACAAGCCGAGCGGGCGGCGAAGCGGAGAGACAAAGCCAAGCAAGCGGTGGCGGAGATTACGATGTTCCTGTAGAACTTTAGGCAAGTGAATGGTGTACCTGTGCCGATGTTCGCTCCAACGCCGCCGCCAGTTGTATCTAGTCAAGTGAGTATGAATCCATATTGCTTCGACTAGTGCTTTTATTAGATGACCCACTCTAAGCGCCTGAATCTCTTGTCCTTTATGCAGCCTCCGTCGGTGGGTTCGAATAACCCATCTCAGGCATAAGCAAAAGTGCCGAGTTTCCTTCACCAGGCACTCAGTTTCCTCCCCACCTTTAGTTTGTATCTCTTTTTCACCGCTTGATGGACATGTGATGCATTGTGATCCACTATCGACTTGTTTCGATGGTAATTGGACCTATTATGTTTGTGATGTCGTGTATGTGAGGTATTGTATTAGCGATGTGATATATATGTGGGATTGAGTTTGTGATGAGATGGATGCGATATATATGTGCTATATTGTCTTTGTGATGCTTGGATGTGATATATATCTTTTATATGCTGTGTTTGTGATTATAGAATCAAAAACAAAATAAAAAAATTAATTTTGAGGCTTTGCTTGGGTGCCACAGCCACATCACTTTCGGCAAAGCTGGGAATTCCTTCGAATTCCCAGCTTTGCCGAGTGCCAGGCCAGGCACCTGCAAAGTTTTTCAAAAAAAATTCTTTGCCGGGTGCCCCATGACTTGGCACCCAGCAAAGAAATTACGAAAAAAAATAAAAAACTCTTTGCCGGCTGCCTCCGCGGTGCGACACCCGGCAAAGAAATTATAAAAAAAATAAAAAAATCTTTGCCGGGTGCCTCCTCGGCACGGCACCCGGCAAAGAAAATTTGAAAAAAAAATTAAAAAAATCTTTGCCGCGTGCCTCTGACATGGCACCCGGCAAAGCAAGGGATGACGGAGCCTACGCCGTAATGACCACTTTTCTTTGCCGGTGCCCGATAAAAAGCACCCGGCAAAGAAATCTTTGCCGACTAATTTTTTGCCGGAGGCTCTTTGCCGAGTGCTGCACCCGGCAAAGGCTTTGCTGAGTGCAAAGTAGCCTTTGCTGGGTGCATTCGGCATCCGGCAAAGCGTCTGAATCCAGTAGTGGTTCGTGACCATTAACTTCCTTCCTCCAGATATCCCTAATATCGACACTCGACACAATTGGACTGATATTCCCATATATCATCTGTATCGACTTGCTTGAAATTGAGATTGCTACCTGCCCTCTGGTTATGCTGCATATTGAATATTTGAAGGTACCATTTTTGGCATAATTTTCTGATAACTTGTTACAATACTTTTTGTTAAAGACAAACTTGTTGTTGCAAAGTGTACTTGATCCTTCATCTTTGTTTCCTGGAGAATCTATCTGAGGTTAGAAGCGATCCACACTTTCCTGTATACCACTGTTTCACTGGGCCATTGGGCCCTGCATCGTGGAGAAAACCTGTGGACCGTGCACGTCATGCTTTTTAAATGTGGACCCCTTGATGTGTTTGCTTTCTTGTAAAGAGCTTTTATCAAGGCCGACAGATGTGAAATGCTGCATTGTTCAAATGCATCGTAAAACCTCTTTGACAGAGATTGAGTGGTTAGATATTCTCGAATCTCGACAGCTATGGTGTGTCTCGAATCTCGACAGCATGTGTTGTGTGTGAGCGCTCAGGCACTCTTGTTTAGAAGCGTCTCCAAGATTCATCACATCACATGTGGAACATTGTGTAGGTGAGCGCTCAGGCACTTCGGATCTTTTGAGCCTAGTTTCCTTTCACGAATAAAGGAAAAGTCCAGCATTTTCAGCAAGAAAAGTCCAGCATTTTCAGCAAGAAAATACGTTTTGCAAAAAAACTTGATCATATAAAACTCCATAAAGCTCCTCATACGTTGAGTGTGTTCACCTATATGCAACGTGGACTCGTGCGTGTGTACTCCTCGATTTGGTCTCGCTGTGTACTATATGAAAGCAAGTTGGGTCGTGCAATTGTACAGTTAGTATGCTGTCCAATTTTTATGCAACTTATTTTTACTCTAACATTCTACATTTGAATCAACGAGTTCACTAGCCCTTTATTATTGCTACAAGTAGTTGTTCCACTACCTTCGCGCTGTGTCTTAATTTATTGCTCTGACAACACCAAGACCTTGAGCTGTATGTATGGAGGGTAAGCCTAGTGCAGTACTAGCTCATATCCTCCATTATTCAGGTCTTGTTTAGATTGCCTCAAAATTCCAAGTTTTTTCACTCTCTCTCCATCACATCAATTTTTGGACGCATGTATGAAGCATTAAATATAGGTAAAAAAAATAACTAATTACACAGTTTGGTTATAAATCACGAGACGAATCTTTTGAGCCTAGTTAGTCTATGATCGGACAAAGTTTGTCAAATACAAATGAAACGTGCTACAGTTTCCAGATTGCAAAAATTTGCAATCTAAACAAGGCCTCACTCATATATTCTGTTTTGCAGATTAATGGCTTCAACAATGTTTTGTTAGACCCTGTTTTTGTTGAACTCTGCCTAGCTCTTTCGTGTACTCTAGTAAGAGTCTTTTTATCGCTATTCTCAAAATGAACTATGAGCTGGTGAAGCTATTTTATCTTCACTGGCCTGACTCTATTCATCATAGCAAGGAGCTGAAGCCCACAAAACCGTATCAAGCAGATTGTTACATTTGTCACCATCTCCGTGGGTTATGTCTTACTTGCTCTCTCCATCTAGAAAAGAATGTGGTTTGACTTTAGTCAAACTTTGTTAGTTCGACCAAATTTATAGAAAATATATCAACATTTACATCTTCGAGAATATTTTTATATCATAAAAATATACTTCATAATTAATCTAATGATATTTGTTTAGTACTATAAATATTTGTATATTTTTTAGACCTTGAGAATTATTGCTAATGCCTATTTTGTTGGATAAATATTAGTTAATATAACCAATTTAGGAATGTGGAAAACTATGGGCCGCGACATGGATTGGAAACCCATAATTTCATTTAGTGTTCAGTTAACTTTTATAACCGTCAAGTCATACATCGGACTTGATCACACCAATTCTCCTCCCATAAAAAAAGGAGCACGAGACCATCATTCTCCTCACATTCAAACGAACACCCCCAAATTAAAGTAGGAATCCAAGAAACAAACTCGATTTCTTGTCACTTATTCTAATCTGAAGTAACTATAATAACTAAACCCCGACCCCAACAGAAGTCGATCTTTCTTGATTAATTATTAGATGAACCAAGATTGGCATGCAATGGGAGTGGGATATGGACATTCAGGCGCCCCTCTCCAGCATCTCGCAGAACCTCTTGAAGGACTCGAGCTTCTGCAGCTTCATCTGCTCGTGGAAGCGCCTGATGAACACGTCCGCCACGCGGTCGATCTCGTCCTCCAGCCGGAACTCCCCCTCCGGCGCCGATCCTGCAGGAGCGGCGACGGCGGCGTCGTTCACGGTAGCAAGATGCTTCTCGCCTGCTGCTGCTGCTTCCACCACGTCCTTGTCCTCGTTGGCGCCGGCGGTGTCCCGCTCCCGCTCCAGCGCGAAGCTCGGCAGGCTGCTGAGCAGGACGACCGCCCTCGCCTCCTGCTCCACAGCGAAGCTCGGCAGGCTCTGCAGCAGCGCGGCCTTCCTGGCGCCGCTGCTGGCTAGGAAGAGGCGCTCGGCCTCGCCATTGCCATTGCCATTGCCATTATTGAGGCCGTAGCTGCTGCTGCCCTGCTGGTGGTGGTGGCCACTGCCGCCGCCGCCGCCCATGATGGCGTGGATCTTGCTCTGGATGACGCTGAGCAGGAGCTTCTTGTTCCGCATGATGCCGAGCACGAGGAGGCGCGTCTGCAGGGAGCTGGCCTTGGTGCCCACGGCGGTGGACCTGGCCTTCACCGCCGCGACGATGGCGGAGAAGAGCTGCTTCAGGTACCTAGACGCCTTCTTCATCTTGTAAATGGAATTGGCCAAGAAATGCTCTACAAATAATATGATTAACTAATGAGAGATCGAGCTAGCTGCTGTCGATCGATTGCTTTGCTATGCTACGAGTGGGAAGTGGCTGGCTCTGGCTAATAGATAGTTTAGTTAGCTGTGGCCATGTGCAATATATATAGCTAGAGTGGTAGGCTAACGAAGTGTCAAGCGTGCATGCATGCAATGCAATGCAAGGACCTACTGCTGCTGTGTGTTTTGGCATGGAGTTTGGTCTGAAGGGTTTCATGGGTATATATAGCCCGCCCGGCCGGGGTGGCGAGTGGCGACGACTGGCCTCTTGTCTTTATCCACCATGCAATATATCTTTCTTCTTCCGATAAGAAAATATATATCTTTTTCATACAAATTTTGTTTAAATTTATTTAAATTTACTTAAATTCAAATCAAATTTTATTTGAAGGAAGGTTCATATCCTGTTTATCACTTTGGATGACCTCCGATAAAAGTTTCATGGTCGAAAACCTTGGTATGGGCATCTTCGAGCTGCTTCCAGGAAAAGCATCACATGGATCAAAGAGGCCGGATGGGCACCGAAAACAAAAATAGGATCGGAGGCCGGACGGCAAAATCCATCGACCACATCCATCGACCAATCGATATAAGGCTAATGTACTGATTAATAATAAAGCAAAAGTACGTGCGTGGTAACAAAAGATGGCCGATGATGCGTAGGCAAGGTAATTAAAGTAGTAAAAGGCAGGGGCCGGCCGGGACACCAATGTTATGTGCATCATCCAAGCATAATAAAGAGCTGATGATGATGGCGATGTTTGATCTGTGTGCCAGTAGTGTCGATCATCATATGGCCCCGGCCAGTTATGCATGGGAGATTCCATGGATGTACTCTAGCGACCTTATTATTGCTCATTCGCAGTCGTGTTGATTTGGTTCCTTTTCGAGAGTTTGGTGAAACATATATCTCGTACGTGCTTGTGGAGCTGCAACTTGCACTTGTGCTAGATTGTGTTTTGTCACTTCGCTATATATTGTATTAGTTTAATTTAATTTGCTTCCCATTGTCGAATGCATGCATGGTTTGCTGTGTACTCAAAGACCGGTCATTTTCTTCAAACCCGCCCTACACTGTTTGTAACTCGAATAGGCCTGTGTGAGTAAAAACTGACAGAAAAATACGAATTTCGATAGAAAAATATTTTTCTAGCGGTGTACCGACAGAAAATAACTGACACGATTAGCTCGTGTATTTTTCGATTGGTTCACCGTCAAAAATAATTTTTCTGTTGGTCATACACGAACAGAAAAATTACGTTCATCCAGATTAAAAATAAATTTGCGAGCTGAGCCTAGCTCGGTTAGGTTTCTTGCGGTGGAACTTGTCCACGTGGTTTCAAGTTCTCGACATGGGTGCTCGCATTTTCCTAGATATATTCCAGGATTTAATGGCGTCGTGCTTTCTGTGGTAGGCGTCATTCCCGTCGACAGCGAGGCGCCTGTGTGACTTCGTCAATCTCAAGATGTGCCGGCACAGTTTTCAAAGATGCTCATATAGGGTATGGTCTGCATACGTGTGTTCATAGGGGTGAGTGTGCGTGTGTGTTGAGTGTCTGCTTCTGTCCTTGTATAATTCGCAAAAAAAAAGATTAAAAATAAATTTTCTTTGTAGCTATGCTCACAGAAAAAGGGAAAATCCAAAGAAAAATAACTTTTCTGTTAGTGTTCTAGCGAGTGCTGCTAGCTCAAGTGGATGCAGGGGCACATATGCCGGCAAATATGCATTATATATGATCGAATTAACTGAATGGTTTCAATTCTTGGTATATCATGACAAATCCTATGAGCTGCTGGTTTTCACATGAGGTTTTAAGAGGGGAGGGGGGGGGTGCATTATATATATGCCATCTATGAAGTGATCGATATATCGATCCATATAGGGGCTTAAGCGTTCCTGCCCCCTACTTTTATGTTAAATGATGATTTTGTTCTTGTTTTTTTAACTTTATGATTTTACCCCTATGTTTTTAAAACAAAGAGAGAGTTTGCCCCTACTATGTGAAGTAGTCTTCACGGTGTTAACTTTTGGACAAAAGAACAAGTTTGCCCATATGATTTTACCTCTGTTTTATTTTGCTCTTTGTGTTTTTCCCCTATTGCCATATCAATGGTTTAGCAAATTTGATATGAATTAGATAATTTAATCAGTTCAAAACTGGTCAAAGCTTAGAAAAAATTCGACACCGTTTCAGCTAAAATCTCTTCTATGAAAGCACATCTTTCAGCATTCCCTGAGGCTTTAACTTGTTGTAATTTCTGTATCCGCTCAAGAGAAAAGAAACATTAGCTTCAGCAATGAATTGCACCAGGATATGCCAACTTTCTGAGTTCAGCTATTCCGCACCTGATAAGAACTTTGCCCAGACTTCAGGGGACGCAAGGGGCAACAAAATGCTTCAACTTCAAAGGGGGGTAATAACCTAGCAAAAATCTAGCCTTTACAAACCTAAACGCCTCGACACTAGGACTTTCTATCTCTGAAACATGAAACACTTGGATGCGACATACGACTGAAGCAGATCAAATATTCAGAACATACAATTGCAACATATGTGTGAAACATATGCTACATCCAGGTAAAACAGTTCCAAACATAAAAACATTGATTCCAACATAAGACTGAAACAACTGCAACATTTCGAACATACTCTTGCAACATAAGTGTGAAACATATGCAACATTAAGATAAAAATGCTTGCATCATAAGTCTGAAACAGATGAAACATTGAACAAACGCTTTTAACATGCCTCTGAAATACTTGTAACATATGCAACATCCCGATCTACTTTTACAACATATGCAACACAGTCCACGTGTGAACATTTTATTTTCTCTTTTTTTGCCATTTAATCAAGTCAGATCTAACGGTGTTACAAAATAGGGGTAAACGGACGCTTCGCTTCAAAATTACAGGAGCAAAATCACAAAGTTTAAAAAGTAGGGGTAAAATCACCATTGTAGTATGGAATAGAGGCAGAAACATCGAATTCCCATCTATATATCTACCACCCCGTTATACTAGATCTTCCAAAGCCTATAGCTAGTTGAATGCAAACTTTTGATCTAATTAGCAATGCACTCCATAATTTGTAAAAAAAAAGAACAAGTAATAATAATAATATATAATCCGTCCGTAATAATTCCGTTAATCCATCATAGCTAGGGCCTAAACGGAATCTCAGCCGCTAATCGTTGACGCCTTTTGGAAGCCTTCGCCGCTAAGGCTCAGCTGGCTGGATCCAGTACAGTGCATGCAGCAGTGAGCCAGCGCCCAGTGATGAGCAGCGCCTCGCTTCCTTTTGTCCCCATGGTGAGTGGTATCTGCGATGCCGTCCTGTTGCCATTGCCACCCTACGCCTACGCTGCGTCCCTGCCCTGCCCTACATAGCTAGGGTGGCACAACCAATATCGTACAATACAACTGTTGTCATGCCGCAGGGACCAAAGTTTAACCTACCTACCTTTCCAAATGCCAAAGCCAAAATGTATAGGCCGAATCTTGCCCTTTCTTTTCCTCTCCGAGATCTTAGGTCCTGATTGATTGGTTTCCGTAAGTTCGGGTAACTTATTAAGTCAGGTGATTGAAAATCAGTGACTTATAAGTCATGTCTGTTTGGTTGTAGATGACTTATAAGCTATGGGCTCCACGCGGAAAAGGGTGGCTTATAAGTTTTAAGCAGGGGTGAACCAGCTTAAAACTTATAAGTAGAGGTGACTTATAAGTTGATGGTGTTTGACAAAATCAATCACTTATTTTACTTTTTAACTTATAAGTAGGTGACTTATTTGGAATCAAACATGCCCTTACCTTCTTACACACCGTAGCAAATATCATTGACACATACCTATCATCTATTCCCTCCATCTCAAAACACTCATGCTTTTAGGATTCTTAGGATAAATTAATGCTCAAAACAAATGTACCCTGATTAAAGGTGATACATGCTAACTACTTCTATAAAATTAGTCAAACTTAAGATAGTTTAACTTAAGGTGATCATTTTGGGATGAGGGAGTAAGAATGAACCGTTAATTGAGAAGAATACATGGAGTGTTGCAAAAGCGCAGTGTTCTCAGCTCGAACTATATGTGCCTAACCTAGTGTCAAGAGCTAAAACATCGAATTTTTTGGGATATATAATTTTTTAATCCTAAAATTTCAAGTTTTGTATGACGTGAATATCTACAGTGTATGGCACATGAGATCCCTATGAACAAAAGCGATGAAATCAAAGGTAGTACTAGGTAGGCCAGGGAGATTATTGGCCGTTGCCTTGCCATGGAGGTATGTGATTATTCCTCTGGTGACAAGCGTACGAGTCATGGAGCTAGCTTTGCCGACTTCCGACGGCCGTCTTGGCCCTTAATTGGGTGCGCGTCAGCTGGCAATCATCGTCTTCTTCTGAGGCATCACATGTTGATATATAATTAAGGCGACGCGGAGCAATAACTGATGAGTGCTAGCTACTCTAGTTATGCCTGAATAACAACATTGCATGACTTCGATCACTGACGATTTAATTAATTATTTTCAGGTCCAAAACTCTGCATTTGGTTATTGACGAGACGGACGGCTCATCAGGTTGTGTACGTGTTTAGTATTTGCTATTTTTATTTTGGGTGATTTAATTTTCAAAATTCGGTGACTGAGACACATCCAACAAAAATGAAAACGATGTCTGTTCATCGTGGTCAGATTTACATGGGAAAGCCAACAAGGGTTCAGCATACCAGTGGCCTGGTTGCTCTGCTATTTTGAAAAAAAGGAAAAAAAAGGAAACAAATAATAGTGTTGGGCACATGCATGGAGGGCTTTTAATCCTATCCGAGAGCAAATTCCATGGACTGTCTCGTATATGCATGAACCTGTGTGTGTGTCGACCAAAGGTTCATGCACGATACAGCAGCCTCGCCCAAGCCAAGCCAAGCCAAGCCAGCC